TTAATTTGCTCAAATCTTTAATTTTCTGTGCCCAGTCAAAATACGGAAAATCGGCCGCCATCTTGCCCCACGACCGAGTTTAAAGAGGAATGGCTCTAGCGGGTAATGTGACGTCAAATCGAGAACACGAAAGTCTGCATTTCACACATTTTCACTTGTTTGGGAAGGTTGTAGTCGATATTGTCCGAAAATATGCCGACTAAGTGTGTTGTAGGAGGATGTAGCAACGTGCGAAATTTGCAAGAGGGTATCGCGCTTCATACATTCCTCATACAACACACCTAGTCGGCATATTTCGGACAATATCGACGACAACCTTCCCAAACAAGTGAAAATGTGTGAAATGCAGACTTTCGTGTTCTCGATTTGACGTCACATTACCCGCTAGAGCCATTCCTCTTTAAACTCGGTCGTGGGGCAAGATGGCGGCCAATTCTCGGTATTTTGACTGGGCACAGAAAATTAAAGATTTGAGCAAATTAAGAAATTTTTGCAGAGAAATACTCCAAAAAATAAGCTTATTTCGTTAAGTGAAAAAAAATTTTTGGGTATAGGTGCACTTTAGTTCTCCCCTCCTGCTGCTACACATTTTCTCGTAAATAAGTTTTGAGAATTTGGTGTAAGATCAAGATAACAACTGTACCTGATGAGTTTGAGTATTCTCATTACTTGTTTGCCGGACAAGGTATGGATATTATAGGGAGAAGTTACATGTTGATCACCTTTGGGAGTTAAAGGGTTAATCAGTTTCCTGCTGTGAAGTTGAGTTGAATTCTTAATGGAGCTACCCTTGAAATGTACCATATTTATAATAACTTTTCCAAATCAATTGGATGATGCAACATCTTTAGTTTTAGCTTTGGTACAGTCTCTGACTTACTACGAATAAGTCGATCTGGCTGGACAGTTCTTAATGACATTGGAATTTTCCTTATGAGAGAAATGGCCTGGTTAAGATCAGTTTTTTCGGAATAAGGGGTAAACAGACCTCTAGTCTGTAGTGTTTAGTTATGTTTTGTTTTTTGGTTCTTATCATGCTGGGTTATCAAAGATTTTCATCGTGCCCCTTCAGAGATCTGTATAAACAAGGTAGTAAACCCAAGCTGCCTTTGAACAATTTTGTTTACATGCAAAACAGTGAGGTAGTGACATGTGATGTTTAAGTTCTGAGAATTTGAAGTTGGATTAACTAATAAACCCCTAACTGACATATTTCCTAATTCTCATCACTTGTCTCCCTGATATTATATTGATGTGGTAAGGAGAAATTCTGTTTTGGTCACACATGGGAGTTATTTGTTTAATTAGGGACATAGCAACCATATGCATGGTCCTGCAACTATATATTAGTACTATATAATTTAATTTATAGCTAGCATTTCACTGAATATAGGTGTGACCAGCCAAGACAATGAAACCACCAATAAACCAATAGCTACAGAAGCTACAACTCCAGGTACAAGTTAATTCACCTTGTATACATAGGTGTGAAAAAGGGGAAAACTTGACAAAGTTTGTATAAAATAAGTCAAAACCCACAGATTGAACTTTTTTTCTTTGGTTATCTAATTGCAGCCAACTGTTGATTTTGTAAAACTAACATACATTTTATAGTAAACACCACATAAATATACTGAACCAGACAAACACATCTCAAATGTCAACACTTGGGTGGCTAGTCTGCCAACCAATAAAATAATTTCATGCTTCTGGAATTTAACTAAAAAAGTATTTCTCTTCAATTAATAACTTGAGGCCTTTGGTCCTTTAGCTCCAAATATCTGATTGTTAATTCTTCCAAGTCTAGTTGCTACATATTACCTTGTACAGTAGTTAAGAGAATCTGGTGTTAGATCAAGATAACTCTCACCCGAGGTTTGAGTATTCTCATTGGTAAATACCTGCTTTCTGGATAATGTTTGGAAATTGTAGAAAGAGGTACATGACTTGTCAATCATCTCCGGAAGTTGAAGGCCAGGGCCCAGTTGTTCGAAGACCGATTAGCACTAACCCAGGGTTAAATTTTAATCCAGATTTCTATATGTCTCGGTTCAAAAGCCGTTTTAAGATAATTTTCCTAATTCTTCTTAGAGCGTTCAATCATCAAATGTGAACAATTGGAATTAAAGTGAATTTATTTTAAAGCTTTCAGATCTGCTAATTAAATTTCATGGTAACCCTGGGTTATCTTATCTCGCCTTTGAACAACCCGGCCCAGGTTAATTTGAAAGTGCCTGGTTGGTCATTAGTCTGCAAAGAACTTCTGACCAAAAAATTGCCTATGTTTTTGTCGCATTGGAATGAAATGAGCGGAGGTTGTGAAAAGATAGTGCTTGTCTCTGGATCGTTTTGAAGTAATTTAAAGTTTTTAGGAATGATGGATTTAACTGAGTGATTGTGAGGGTTAAACGTGAGAGTGAATGGAATGCGGTCGTGAGGGTGAATGGAATGTGGTCAGAAGTTCTTTTCAGACTAATGACCAACCAGGCACTTTTAAATAGGCTCGTGCACAATGCAAAACGTGTCCTTTCATTCACAACACTGATAAAAAATCGGGACCTAAACGATCCATTAAGATCACTGATCACTTCACGTGCACCTCCACCAATGTAATCTATTGCATAACTTGCACTTATTGCAAAAAGATATACATCGGTGAAACAGGCAGAAGACTAGGTGACCGATTCCGAGAACACCTTCGAGACGTGGAAAGGAATGACAAGGACACATCGAAACCAGTCGCTAGACATTTTAATTTACCTAATCATTCTAAGCAACATATGGCAATCTGCGGTCTTTCCTTACATGTTTTTCTCGTTGCCATGCTCCCACCAATAACGTAGCTCCATTTTCTGCCTTTAAAAGCACACACAACCCACAATTCCTCTATTCGCTCCGACGAAGGGCTAACGCTCGAAACATCAGCTTTTGTAATCATTACGGTGGCCAATTTACCATTTCAACTTTGTTGATATATCCAAATTATTTCGTTACTCCCACCGACGCAGCCCCAAACAGTTTCTTTCAAAACTATCAGCCTTTATTCATCAAATACTTGATTGATATGATTGTGTAAAACCAAAATCTTTTGGTCTGAGTAAATCTGGGAATATGATGTTAGTCTGCAATGGAGTGAAGTCTTTGAATGCTGGTTCTGTCAACACTTTTATCTGAGGGGTTTGGTGAACCCTACAGAAGATGTGAAGACTCACTCTGTATCCAGGATATGTATAGCCGATGTCTAGTTTCTTTCTCGAATTTCGTCATAGTTTTGATTAACTGGTAACAGGACTTTGTGTTGTACAATTCTGTATGTAATCATACTCATGTAAAGAAAATTCAGACCCCCTTTGCAGAGGTCTGATTTTGCTGGACTCCATTTGGTCCTATTATATTACCTTAAAGTTTGTTAATTTTGAACCCACAATGTTTTGCAGTGTTGCCATTGGCTAGTACTAATATGTCAGTACAGGACACCATAAAGAAAATATATTCAACTACCATGGAAGGTATTTGCAAGTTGTGTGTGCGCCACAGTAAATGTTTAATTTTATTGAAAATTGGTTCACAAAATATCAGCATGTACATGTTCTAGTATTACATACAAAATACTGTAGACCTCTTTTGAAATGACTGTTATCATTATTATTCTCCTTAATGCCTGCAAGCTAGCCTTCTTGGTATCTCTTTTTAGTGAAATGTCATTGTTTTCAAAGTGCTGTTGCTGGCAGAATGGTTGATTTACATGAATATATAACAATTATACCAATTAAGTCCTCCATTTGTAGCTGATCCATTTGTTTTTCATCTGCATCATTTTTATTGTCAGTTATAGATCTAAGTTAAAGATGAGGTTTAAGGAGAAAAACCTGTTCCACCCTGATGCTAGTTTTTGTATCAGTAATCTGCTCCAGAGAAGTTTGTGATTAATTTATTCTTTCTTTTTCACCTCTGCTTTTTCCCATGATAATCTTGATAACCAAGTGCAAAGTTATATTTGTCAGACAGGAACATGAAAAAAGGTTGAGTGTCAGGAAGCAAATGCTGCTGCCCAAAATTGGTCCCTTTGGGTTACATGCATATCAAAATAAACAAAATCTTAGTCATTTTTTCATGGAATTCAATTTCTTGATTGTTTGTTTGTTTGTTTGATTTTATTGCAGTTGTGCCTTCAGTAATATTGAGAACTGTATCAGCAAGTGCCCAAACAACTGTTACATCACCAATTTCAGGTATGCTAAAAGCTTTTTTCATTGCAAAATAGTTCACATTAACTCCTTTCTATCAGGAGTCATCATTATAGGCTCTCCCCATAATCTGAGAACACTTAAACAGAGAGTAAAGACATGTAACTCAAAATTCTCATGACAAACATGCAGGCTGTTTTGGAAATGTGTGTCAACAAATAAAATTAAGAAACATTCATTAACATTCAGATCTCAGAAGGGAAATGATAGTACAATCAACAAGATTGTTAGTGATCACTCTTTAAAGTATACAGTCCTATTTTCTGTGGTATGGATGCTTTTTCCATATTTGACCACAAGTGGCCCAAGCTCTGTCACAGGCTCTTTCACAGTGAATAATTAAAGAGTTTGTATAGTGGTTTAGTTGGACTTGCTTTTGAGCTCCGTAAATGTAAAGTTGTGTGAAATAATCAAGGAAATAAAGTCTTACCCTCATAGAGAGTAGTCTGTGTTGTTCTCCTCGCGATTTGAGGCCATTTTGATGTGTTTTAGCTTGACGCCCTAAATCACCGTGCACAAAATACGGGAAGGTCGGAAACTTCTGTTCACACATGCTCACCAAAATCGATCAAAAACAACACTTAAATACTTTCCCTCGAATCAAAACTTGGC